TTAAGTATTGCCACCCATGGCTTGAATTTGTTTTTCAACTCCTTCAGCTTAAGAAACGCTGAGTAAGTCCAGCCCTTTTGATTTTCTGACTCCAGCTCTTTGCAGAACTCATTTATCATAATATCGTCATACTTTACCAACAATTCTATCATTTACTTGAGAATCCTTCTTTCTTCAGTGGTGAAGAAAATCATTCTTTCTTCAGTGTAGCTATTGGGTGCCTGGTAAGCATTTACTGTCACCAGAAAACCACAATCACAATTGGTACAAGACGCAATATAAACTAATATGCTAACTCATGTTCTATGTGACTTATTCTTACAACCCTATCCTAAAATCTCAAGAATATCTTAATAGCTCTGAAATCCCTAGTCCTTCCCTAAATATCTCTTGAAATTCTCTTGACAAAAACAAGATCAGAGATAACATGATAAAATCTTATACAACCAATGACCTATTGATTGCAAATAATTTTGTCAATAACATAAATGGCAACTCCTTCTATGGACCTAACTAGATGGAATACACAAAAATAAAATAGACTACATCTATGGGCATAGTGGAGAAGCTCAGTAGCTCCATCATCAATGGAATAAATCCAGAGGCTGACTGTGCAAAAAACATGAATTGTACAAAGAAAGTTCAAGTGGATGCTAGAAAAGTGAAAACAAATAAAAAGGGGTCAGAATATGATCTTAATTATATTCCACTGAAATTTAGAGATCATGTCAATCAGAGATTTGATGAATTGAACATAAATGAGCAAAGAGCAGATAGATTGTTATTAAGTTAATTAAATATTATTTAGCAGATGGGGGGCACTAGAAAGGATCAAAATGGGTTTCCCAAGAGAATCTGACACTTTATGACATGCTGCTGTTGCTGTTATGTGCCGTTGAGTCATTTGCGACTCATAGCGACCCTATGTACAATAGCCCTAAACCCTGCTCTATCCTGTGCCAATCACATTGCCTCTGACACACCCATCCCGATTACCCCAGTCACTGAATCAATCCACCTCATAGAGGATCTTCCCCTACTGCGCTGTTTCTCCACCTCATAGAGGATCTTCCCCTACTGCGCTGTCCCTCCACCCT